AGGCTCCTAGTGGGGAGTTCGGGCTCCTCGTAGGGAGTTCGGGCTCCTTGTTCGGATTGCTGGTGGGGAGTTCGGGCTCCTTGTGGGGAGTTCGGACTGCTGGTTTCCTCCCTTTGGTGCTTGCGCCCTGGGTGCGCTGTTGTGCCGAGCTGTTTGCCTTTGCCATGTGTTGAGTGATTACGAGGTCGGGCCAAATCTTCCTTCATCACATGGTATTAAAAAGCATTAGAAAGTAGAACACAACCGATACTAAAAAGGAAATTTTAAGAAATTTTAGCAAGGCTCTTGTGTGATGCATGAGTTTTGTTAAACAAAATCTAAGTTGAAAGACTCTTATTAGGGGTGTCAATGGGTTGAGTCTTCTTGTTCGTTCCAAACTAATTCATACCCGAAACCAATTATTTTATTATAATATATATAATCTTTTTCTTATTTTTATAATTTATACCATAATTTATGTTTGAAACGGTAAATTTGATATACAATAAATAAGATGACATTAGTTAAATATGTTTAATTTATTAATATATGAATAATTTAGTGTTTTTTCCATCATTTTTCTCAAGGTATTATCAAAATTTAGATTTTGAGTTATTATTTAAATAAACAAATATATTTTTTAGTATAATCACCCAATAGACTCGACTATTAAGTAGAAGAGTTATAGGTTTGTGATTTTATCCCAATTAATAATTGATGAGGGATAATTTGGCTCGTCAAATGGTGTGGCGACACGTGGAGTGATAGAACGATGTGGTGACACTTTAGCGACCTCGGCGATCCTAGTCACCTTGCGCACCTCAAGTCATCCAGCTAGACCGAGGCTCAAATATCTCAACTATATGCACTGATCTACCAAGGTGTCACATAACCTCTATCTAGAAGCAAGCCAGCTATATCCAATCTCCTTGGGATCACGACACCACATTAACGAATTCCACATTCTCCCCGCTCGATTCAGATGGACCTGGATAAGCCTTATCAGGTTACGTGGAATCCATTTTTTGGTGTGAAACTAACTTTGGACCAGATGGGCCAAGGATCTCAGACACACATCGTGAGGCCCACGACAACTCGCCTATATAAAGACTTTGCCACCAATCTCTCAAGGTACGCGTGATTCAACTCTCTCAATTCTCTAGCAACATTGTTTTCAGCTCTCTCAAAACCTCTAATTCGCTAACTTAAGCATATGAGTGCTTACATCGGGTAAAGCACCCCGGACACTCTGACACCCTTTTCTTGCAGCTTGACCAAGCGGCTTCACTAGCCCGACGTCTTAATTATCCTCCAGTAGGGGGCATCAGATCGCACACCAACAATAATCAGTTCAAGACTGGTTCTATGCCTAGACATGATCTTGTCAACCCGTTGACAACCCTAACCTTTATGATATTTTCAATTGTATGAAGCAAACTATCTCCAAACCAAATTGTTAGATGAACTTATATCAATTTGCATCACTACTTGTGTGATACATATACGTTGTTAAACAAAAATGAGGTATGGGCTATGTTAAATGAAATTGAGGTAGAAGGAACCCTATGATATTCTCAATTTAGCTGAAGTGCTGAACCAACGCAAGCTCAACTTAAGCTTTACTTTTTGGGTTATATATATAGTTTATATACATATATGTCTAGCGTGATGCAATCAAATTACTCCCCTAGCGAGAGTGGCCATATTTTGTTTTAATTTTAAATGGAGCTGAAGGCTTTGACGATCATGTACACAATCACGAATGAAGTAAACTTTGGGGTTAAGGCTGTGTTTGGTTGCAATGCGAATTTATTGATAGTGCAGATGATTTTAATGTAAATTATGATTTATTTTTTTATTTTAAAATTTATGGTATTTTGTTTGATTACAATATAAATAAAATAAAATAAGATTTAAAAGCAGAATAAAGTAAAACTGAAAACAAAATTATATCAAAAATTGTATTTTTTCCTTTGTATTCCCATACATTTATATTTATGCAAATAAAATTACACTGCAACCAAACACAAGGCTCAGTTAGGAAAGAGTACAAATACAACCAAACACAGCCGGGCTGTGGTGTCATGTAGGTAGGGTAATGTGAATAGGAGATATATCGCTCATTTGTGGGCTCTGTATGATATTATACAAGTCATTGTTCGCGCAGATCCCAACGCACGTGAGGGTGACCAGTATTCAACTTTTGATGCTTATCCAAAACAAAAAAAAAATGATTCTAATCCAAGCATAGCGTGAAATTGGACCCAGAGTAATAACGAAATCTTATATCCTTTTTGGGGCGCACATCTCATATATGCGTGGCGGGGTCTCACTGTCTTAATCTCATGCAGGAACAAGTTGGTAGAGGGTTAGAACGTGTTTTGTTTATATAAAGATTCTAATCTCATTAGGGTTGGTTTTTAGTATTTATTCTGTCATTGATTTGGGTTTTATCTTTCAGGCTTTTCATTTAACTGTCATTGGATTATTGCTTATTTCCTTATCAATATTATCTAAAACCTTCGTAGAGCTTCTTATCAGTGAGTGTTATTGTCTAAAACTTCATTAGATTTTTGTTAAATGAGATCATCGTTAATGTTTATTAAAAAAATTATCCATATAGGCATTTGAATATTTTATATGACTAAGCTACCTTTGAATAGCCAACAGTTTTGAGTCCGAATTTTTTGTCCACGAGAACTCTGTCTATATTAATCGCAGTCACACATGAAGAACATCTTATCCTCTACATATTATTATGTAGGGGGAGATGCTCCCAATTCACGGGAGATAGTGTATTATGAATAGGCGTGGGCAGAAGATCCATAGTCAACAGTTTCATGATAAAATTATCCTTAACCAGAGTTCGAACTCACACCAGGCCCAATTTTATAATAAAAATATTTTAATAAGGTTAACTGATCATTCAATGATAATTTGATCATGTAAAATACTCAAATAATACTTGTATAGAGATAACTTTTTTTTGATAATCACTATTGTTAACTAACGAAAATCTTAAATTCTTAATTGAAGCCTTGAAGGTGAGTGTGGGACAATAAAACTCACTAACAGGGGCGGGCTGGCAGGTTTTGAAAAATCAACAGAAATGTAAACAAGTCAGTGAGTCACGGTCAGTTTTGAATAATATCCAAAAAACAGAATCGCTTTTTTTATGCTTGTATATCCAGAGAAACCTGACAGCTGGACACCTTTTTGTCGGCCATGTGTCAAATAAGAAACCCTAGCTCACAGAGGACTCAACTGAAAGACTGAAATGAGAGATTAAATCAGCCCCTACAACGTCCTACAGTACATCTCCGCCGTGTATCAGGAATATCTCCCGATATTATTATAGGAAGATGTTTCCAATACACAGCAGGGATGTGCTGTGGGATATTGTGGGGGGCTCATGTGAATTCCTGAAAGGGAGTCCTGTTTCTTACAAAAAAGAAAAGAAAAGAAAGGAGTCCTGTTAGAGGAGAGAAGAGAAGAATTCGGACTCGGACTGACCTGGGACTGCCGAACTGGGGTCTGAGGGTCTGAAATTGGGGGAGTTGCCTCGGGGAAGGGGGGTGTCTGTGGCTGTTGGCTTGGGGCCTTGGGCAGTTGGGTTTGTTTTATTTCGGAATTGAAGTTGGACTCTCGACCATTAGTTGCCTAGTTGGGTTGAAAAATGAAAATAAATATAGTATTATTCTAAGCCGTACAGAACAATTACAGATCCAATTTCGTTAGGACTGGACAGCTGCCTCTCTGATTCAGCAGCTGTTGTCTCTCAAATCAACGCAAAGTCAAGCAGAAATCGTTTACGGCCGCTCGTCACTTCACTTGTACTCTCTAATCTCTATCTCGCTCCTCGTCTCGTCTGTCCGTCCGACCTGGACTTCCACCTCACTTCATCTCCTCCCTGTTTACGCCTTGAAGACAGGTCAGTCTTTCCTTCTATCTCTCTATTCGTTCTTTTTTTTTCTTAATTAATAATTAATTATTCCCCTTGCGTAGTTGTATGGTTTGATGATCTCGTTTCTTTTTCTTGTTTCCTGAATCTGGATCTGAAGGCTTGATGTTGTTTTTAGACTTGGTTCTAGCAATTTCTTCTCGCTTCGTTTTGTTTTGAGGGGAAGGCGATGCTGTTAATGGTGGCCTTTTTTTTTTTTTTGAAGATTTACAGAATGGGTCGTATTACTCTTCTTCGGTTTCCATAAGTAGACTGTGTGTCAAGTTTTATAGTTTTTCTTTTTTTTTTCTCAGGAAGGGAAGTTTGTTTACTTTTTCCTTTTCCTTTCAAATAATGCATTTGAAATTTAGAGAAGGAAACGTGGCTGCTCGTTGGATTCTAGTTAGTCCCGGGTCGATTTTATTTTTCTTTTCCTTGAAACTGGGCCCAATTTTCCGTTGTAGTACTGGGTCTTCGTTTAGTGGTGGGTAAGCCAAGCACCCTGTAGCGAATCTGTGCATTTGTAATTAATTTGGCCACAAACTTAATGCTTGATTTTTCTTTTTCTTTTTAAATCTGGAAAGTATTTATGGGATTGGGATGGTCATATCATTGAAACCTTCAACTGGGAATGATCTTTTTAAGATGTATCAGCTTAGAATCTTTCCAAAACAACGTGGGTTTGTGGCTGGTTTCCTATTTCTTGCTTGTCGGTGATATCTGTCAGCCTCGATGTCTAAACGAAACGGTCGTTTCAAAGCTTCCTGCTCAACTTGCCTCTGAGACATGTCTATGCTCCATTTATTATCAGGATTTGCGCTCTCAAATCCCCTCATTATTTGGACATTTGATGTACCATCCCCATGTTCATGGTTCTTTCTTTCTTTCTTTCATCTAAGAAGATGAAGTTTCGTTAACAAGAAAGCATCTAGAGCAATAAAGAACTATCTTGGATGAACAGAGCCCCAATACAATTTGATCTCAACCCTATCTCTAGCAACATTGTTCACTCTGGATCAAAGGCTCTAGCCTCCTTATGTCATGATGAAGAACCAGGAGCTGTATGCTGTTGGACCCTCAAGAGGCTCATGAGACTGAATCATGTCAAAAGTAGCTATACTCATTGCTATTGCTTGAACCGGTAGAGAGAAAAAAGTGCCAGGTTGTTTTGCTCATTTTCCACATATGCAACATAGTATACAAGGAGCAGTACTATAACAAAAACTATTGCTAGACCTATCAAAATCAGAAACCACCAACCTACAACTCTATTGTCCAAAGAGAATTGGAATTATAATTTCTGGAATTGTTATGGTGAATAGGAAATCATGTACTGCATCTTAAACTACCATTATGTTTGGGATGCTTCTTATAGCATTTTCCCTGTAATCTTACCAGGCACAGTGCAAAAACTTCATGTTGTTATTTCTTAAGATGATATTTCTACTTTACTGGGGAACAAAGAAGATCATTGCCTTAAAAAATGTTTTCTGGTCTGAACTCTGAATAGTAAAATAAACACAACAGTACAATTGTTCATTAACAGCATATGAATAATTTCTTCTTTACTGAAAACACCCACCGTCTGATAGTTCCTCAACTGATATGATCATCTCAGATGCTTTACGTAATTGCTGATAGTATAAGGGATCTTGTATAATATTTTATAATCCTGTTGACTCCAAATATATGTGCTACGGCCTACGGGACTGAATGGGATCCGGGGAAGACAGCACGCCTGCCAAGCCTTCCAAATCAACTGCTTCAACTCAGGTTCTCTCTCTTTCTCTCTATACCAATTACTATAATTGTTATTATTGTTGTTCTTGTTATGAAATATGTACATAAATTGGTAAAAGGCTTCCTAATCATGAAATGTAGAGGAATCCTGTGGCTAATCTGAACTGTCATTGAGTGATCCGGGGAATCTCTGGATCAACACTTTTTACTCGCTCAGTCCATATCAGCCTACCTCATAGGCCATCCAATATTTGATATTTTATTTAAAAAATCCCCACATGAGGGCTTATTTCAGCGGCATAGCTAGAGAGTAGAGATTTAAGCTGAAATTGGTTCCATGAACAGAGGAAAACGAGAAGTCCTTGAGGTGCCCCAGCCAGCTTTACCATGTGGTTGGTTTATGGGTTGTTCACATGAAATCAACAATGATACGTCTAGTGAAGCCATCCCCATATAATAATTATTATTATTAAAAGTTACTTTTTCTCCTTTCAATATATTTTACGTCCGAATATATATCCATAGATATATACCACTTTTTCACTGTGCTTCTTATTTACAGGAGACACCAACAACACCTTCGTATCCTGATTGGTCAACTTCTTTGCAGGTCCGTGATAAAATTATTTGGACTTACTTTCTTGTTTATGCATCTTCATGGATTTTCATCGAGTATCTGGTTGAATTATCTTAATAGCTTATGGTTCAGCTCTTTTAAATAGGCGTACTATGGTGCTGGAGCCACTCCACCTCCTACATTTTTCACCTCAACTGTTGCTTCTCCAGCTCCACATCCTTATCTCTGGGGAAGTCAGGTGATTATCTCTAAAATTCTAAGCTTGTGTAGCTTTTATTATTTTATGACCCTTTCACTATGCCAAATGATGAACACTTATTTTATTTTTCTTGATGGCTTTCAGCATTTAATACCACCCTATGGGACTCCACTTCCTTATCCTGCCGTATATCCTCATGGAGTATATGCTCATCCTAACACGGCTGCAGTGAGCACAATCTTTTTTATATCTTTGCATATTTTGCATGCTAACAAAAACATGTCATATTTTGCATGCCAACAAAAACATTTCACTGCCTGTGCATTTATAACCATGCTTTATTTTTGTATATAGGCTCAGGGTGCAGCAGTGACAACTACAGAAGCAGAAGGAAAAGCCTCTGAAGGAAAGGAGAGGGTTTCAACTAAGAAATCCAAAGGGAGTTCAGGAAAAGAAAGTGGAAAGGCAGCTCCAGGATCTGGAAATGATGGTGCCTCACAGAGGTTTGTTCCATAGCAAAAGCCTTGCTTTTTTCCTAATCAATACCAAAGTAGAAATTTTAATAATGGATAAAGAAATAGTTGGGAGTATTGTGCTGCAACCTGCCCTGAAATAAAGGGATTGATTTGATAAGGAATACCAAGATTTCTTTGGTGAAGATGTTGCCTGACCTAGGCATCCAAGAGAACAGGACATTCCTCCTTGATTTTAATATGTGAATTTGTCTAAGAATATTTGCTAATTTCCAATTATCCCATGACAGAGTTTTGGTGCACCCAATAACCTCTATTAACCATTTTATTTTGCATATGTTTTCCATAAAGATTTTGTGGTTTATAACTTTCTATAAATCATTTGGTTCTTATAGTGACATTTTGACAATATGTTTGTAAAAACTGTTTCTATACAGTGGTGAAAGTGGAGGTGAGGGTTCATCAGATGCAAGTGATGAGAATGATAACCAACAAGTATGTATTTGCCTTTCTTTTCTATTTTTATGTGACTGTATACTTGATTCAAATATTAAAGAAATTGCTGGAGAGGAAAAATTGCCTAAGCTAATTAGTTCTGGACAGGCTGAATACATGTCTTACATGTCTGATTTTCTGAAAAATCAAAGTTGATCTTTGACTTGGAAACTCTGAAAACTTTTCTTACATGACCTCAACTTTGGATATTGAGATACTAATTTATCCATTCAAGGAGCTATTGTCCATTTTCTACTCTTTTCATCATTTGTGCCAAACACAATTCTTTTCTCTCCAGGATGATTCTGATACTAAGAAGAGAAGCTTTGATCAGATGCTTGCAGATGGTACCTTCTTATTTGAAGTACTTGCGTTCTTATTAAATTAGTTGTATTATCTTTATAACTCAAAGAATTCCATCAGGAGCAAGTGTGCAGAACAATGGTAGTGCAACTGTTGAAACATCTTTCAGTACAAGAGGGCAACCACTTGCAAAACTTCCAGTTTCAGTGCCTGGAAGGTCTACAGTAACTATGCCTGCTACCAATTTAAATATAGGGATGGACCTATGGAATGCAACCCCTGCTGGATCTGTACCCTTGAAGGCAAGACCAAACGCATCTGGTGTCTCACCAGCACCTGTTGCATGTGAAGGGGTTATGCCTGATCACCTTTGGATTCAAGTAAGCACTGTTGTAGTTTTTTGCCAGATTGCTTGCTCTATCATGTCCTCGATATTTCTTCCTCTTCCTCCTCCCCCCTTATTTATTTATTTTTCTGAAGTATTGAGTCGCTATATAGACTTTCAAGTGAGTTTACAAAATGATTACTCAAAACATATATACAATGAGAACCTATACATCCACATAAAACTCCTTTGCAAAGGAGCATTGAAGAGAACTCTTGCTGCAGATAACTAACTGTATGTTGTAGTATTATTTCTTAGCACCTCATCCTCTTGAGAAGTTTTGTTCTGTAAAGTTTTAAAGTTCCTTCCCCCTCCCCACTTAACACAAGGTCAGGACACTTCTGTGCTATGTTACTCAGATACAGTTGGATTGCAAGCATTGGATAAACCTCTTTGTTTAAATTGTTGAATTATTTAACAAAGAACATGACACATCTATACCATGTTCTGGCATGGTAGGATTTTGAGAGCCTGATATGGGCTTGGATGTGCTACACTTTTTTGTGCTGCACTTCTGGTGGAATTCTATTCAGTCTGTGACAGGTGTCCCATTACATGTGTGGTCTCATATGCATGTATTAATGGGACACCTATCACAGACTGAATGGAAATGCACCACGAGTGCAGCAAATCCTGATGGATAAGGATAGGATTCATGAATTTCATGTAATAATTTTTAAATTTCTACCATAGGGAGATTTTCTTGGACTATAAATTTTGCATGCAATAGAGCTTTATATTTAGAAGGAACAGTAACACTGTGCTTTGTGTACTTTTATGGTACATGAGATCCAATAAACGGGTAAAAATTGAATAACCTGAACCCAGGAGTTTCAGACACTGGAACATAGAAAATTAGATACTTCTGTAAGCACATGTTGTTCACCACAACTGCGATTGACATGAAGATACTAAACCAGAGCCATTGAAACACCCATGGCAACTCGTAGGACGACATGGATCTGTGACGAAGCTCATAACTCGCCACGGAACTTGCGATGAACCCAAAACCCATCAAACACCCACGACGAGCTGCGATAAACGAAAACACCATCAACCAAGGTCACTCGTGGCAGAACATCTAGCAGGCTAAGCGGGACATGCCAGACCAGTCCTGATGTCACCTGCACCATGCCAATACAGGAGACCCGCAAAGGGAAGTAGCACATGTGTACTATGAGAATCCTCAAATAAAAGGAAACTTTGTCCTAGAAAGATCTCATGAGACACGTGGTGAACCCCTAGTAGTGTCCCTTTGACAACTGACACCGAATCAAAGATCCCCTTTCCAAATAGGAGTCAAACCCCTTTTGGCTCCTTCCTTTCAGGGCGTCTTGATCTCCCCTTATAAAAAAGGGGAGATCCATCAAAATAAACACACGAATCCGTCGATATAGGATCATTGCCTACCCTTGTTACCCGAGACTGCCAGCCTTTCTTCGTCCTTCAAGGAGACCACCACGCTCAGCTTCACCACATCACGTACAACTTTTTTTTAACTGCCATTTCTGTTTCATGTTTCTAGTATGACAATGAATGAGTTAATTTCTCCTTTAGTAGTCAGGATTTTATGGTACATCTTAATCTTTTTTATTTTCTTATAACATGTAAGGCATGTTCCTTTTGCTTCTTTAATACTTTTTTTATTGGTATTATTTTATATATTTAATAATTTGTGAATTTTGTTTCTTTTTCTTCTTAAATATTTGTAATGACATGTAACTGTTGTCCTGACAGGATGAACGTGAACTAAAAAGACAGAAGAGGAAGCAGTCTAATCGGGAGTCGGCCAGGAGGTCGAGATTACGTAAGCAGGTATTCCACATGTTTTTGTTTAGTTGGGCCTAATTGTTTTTTTATTCTTATTTTAAGCTATTTAGTTAGGAAGTTGTTGGGCTTTAGGCCCATTAGTTT